AAAAAAACGAGTACAACAGAACACAACTGCAGCACAACACAACCCGTAGGACTTACACAGGCCTCGCCACTTTGTTACCCACACAGCTGCACACCTACACATGCAGATTCCATGATAGTCAATCTGCGTAATCTTGACTTATCACATTTACACTTCTTGGTGGAGTTAGACATCGAGAGCGACTCTGTATGGTACAAGCAATGATAATCACTCAAAACACACATCCTCTCTCACACAAGTCAGATTCTGAAGCCCCGTGAAGGTGTTAAACAGTAATCTCCGGTGCTCTCTCTCGCCCTCACTCTCACGACTGAAATAGAGTCTATGGGCCGCTAATGATAATTTTTATCTTCTACTCCACTCTAGTAGAGACACTGTCATGGAAATGCCCCTCCGATATTTTTTCAAAAGAAACACACGCCCTCCTCCCACCTCACTGACTACTCATTCTTTGCTTTTTATTCTTTCGTTGGTAATTTTTCCCTCAAGCCTACCCCTTCGACCCTTTAGAGCCCACTCCACCATCTGAACTACCCCTATTACTTTGGAATGTAACCCGAATAACTCAGCTTTTGATACTTAGCATGTTTTCTTTATATATTATAACATGATGTACGTTACTTTCTCCCTCCCCGAAATCCCCCTTCACAAAAAACGGCCCATAGACTCCGTTCAGCACGCACAACCACCATGCAAGAGTTGGCTGTGATGATGAGGAATTCAGTCTACGCATCCGTTCATCCAACAACTACTTGTGACCTCAAGAGGTGACGATCCGACGACGAAGTCCTCATCACGAGGCCCACTCAGCACGAAACTCTCTACTCTATTTGCGCAGGAAAGGTGACCGATGATGATGAGAACTGAAAGTATCCAACTCCCTATTACTGTACAAAACTCATCAAAAGTACCATCCCGACTTGAGCAGTAGCAAAAATAGTCCTTTTTTTCTTAAGTGGCTGTACATTGCCCCAGTTATGTCCTCATCCCATGGGCCACTCTCCTCTGCACATATCACTCCCAAAGTCAGTCTTATTGTTCGCAGAAATTTCGTATCTCTGTCAAAATTACAACCAGACTGGTCTCAAGAGAGATGTCCTGACACATTTCTATGCCACTATAGCCCTTTTCGGAGGAAAAAGAGATCCGCAATATCTTCGCACATGATTACGAGGGGAGTTCACCTTCATACACCTCATTCACAAACTCCTTTCTCCTCTTTTTCGAGACGTTCTTATGCCCATCTGAATCCCAGTATTCCGCTATATCGACCAGTCCCCTCCCCTCCTATGCCCCTTCACGTACACTCACTTTTCCCCTTTTTCTTCCCTACATCTTTTTGAAGTCATTCCCTCTCGCCATGAAACCTGCTCTCCCACTCGATTATGCTCAAATGAACCAAAAACGGGTTCCACTGAATATACTCAAGAGAAAAAGTTTCATCCCCCTAGTTCGAAACCACATGGTAACTTCCAACACCTCAAATCGTCACATAATCATATCAAGTCATCGCCCAAGCGCCCACCCACTAATCCGATCTATTTTTCCTTTATATCCCCTTCCTCATCCCCTCCGTTTGCTGGAATGACACTTTTGAACTCCACGCTCCTCATAAGACTTTAGGGCATAGAAATGTAGAGTACCTGCACAATACAAACACACAAAGCCATACTTCAGACCTCAGGATGAGCCATGACGATTTCACTGTTAAATTGCCTGTTCTAGCCCCTAGTTCAAAACGAAATTTTTGCGGTCCCCCCCCC